CCAAGTAGCAGTGATTGGTTAAATTTAAAAAGTACTCGCCTACCGTCGAGCAACCGAACCCTAATGCTCCGAGATTAGACGGTTTCCATGAAGTGAAACTGGCTGATGAATCAAGCTAATGTTCGCTCAGCCCAGTGTTCCCTTATTTCTAAGATTTTTCTCAAAATTAAACTCCAAGTGAAGTCATTTTTATTTTTATACCGCATTTAAAGGGATGATTTAGAGTTATTTCAACCTAGGATCCTGTGCACCATGACCTCTACATTACATCTGTCAACTGCTGCTGGATAATAGGTTGGGTTTAAGTGACTAACAAACTGGGTGAAATGGGGATAAATTCTGATGCAAACTGATGATAAAGGACATATAGGAACATAGGGTCTAATTTTGGAAAGAAACCCCAAAAACTTAGAAATGAGGGAACATAGGACTGAGGGAACATAGGCATGCTCCCCTGTTTTGAACTGTGGAAAGTTCCAGTCAGAGCAATGACATCCAAAATGTTACATAATGCATTTTTTAAGGTAAAGGGAGCTGTTAACTTGAAAACTACCACTTCATGACAAAGTGGAACAGAGCATTTTGAGCTTTGGAGATGTAAACAAACAAATAATAAAGGCTTACTCAAACACGTGTGAATGGAACAAAACACAACTCCAGGTATGTTTTAAGGAGGTAGCAGCAATAAAACATGGCTTAAAACTCACAAAAATAAATTTTGTGTGATATAGGCCCTTTACAGCGCTCCATCAAAGCCATCTGAACTAAACGTATACGTACTCTGGCAGTAAAAACCTGCTGGCAGCCAGCCAAATATATCCTGCTTAATCATTCTGTGCTCTGTTATGACACTATTGTCTGGTGATTGTGTTTAGCTGCAGATTCATAGCCACCTCTGTCACGGGGCTTTTAGCCAATGACAAACTGTGTGCACGTGTTGCCTTAGCACCTGCTAGCTGCACTGGACCCACATCAATGCGTCGCTCTCCAGTCTGTTTAGAGCGTGTGAAAGGGTTGTACTACATTTTCTTTCATGTAATAAAATGGGAAGGCTGTGTGCTGTCTGCATCGAATTCTATGCGCTTACAAACTCATCACTGTGAATAATTTTTATGCTATGAAAGATTTAAGAAAGTGTGGAATATGTTTAGAGTCCAGTTTAAAGGTCCAATATCACACAGAATGGATGCTTCTGAACTTTAAGCCATGTTATAATGTTCTTATCTGCGCAAAAACATACTTGGAGTTAGGGCTGTGCCAAAAATCAAAAGATCAACACATGCAATCTCTACTTTGGTCGATCTCGATGATAAGGCATGTGCATTTTAATTGACTCTACAGCCAATCATGAGGCACTAAGAGAGCGTGGAGCCATCAAGGATTTATGCTCTTGTCTAGGAAAAAGCAGCCTGAGCCACAGCGTGTACCTTTGTCTCCTCACAGGTTCACAAGTTTTGACTTAAATCTGCACAAATTGACTAAAAGTTCGATGTTTCTGCCTCTGTCTGTGTGTGTGTGAACGGTGTCGTTTACCCCGCTCACCTGCTCCCCCTCCCTCCTTCTCTCTCTCTGATCCAGACGCAGCGCCTCACCTTTTCTCCTTTTTCTCTCCTCTGGTGCTTCTCATCTTTATAATCCAAGTAAGACCTCATTTAGTGCAGGAACATCGCACGTGTAGCAGTAACACACACATGCATCTAGGCTTAATATATTGTAGAAACTCATTCCATCATTTAAAAGTGAATTTCTCCAGAATGATTGGTCCAACCGACACAGTAAAAGCTGTAGTGACCCTGACACTCTACTCTTTATGCCTGAAGTCCACATGTCGATGTTTTTAATAAGATGGAGGAAGATCAAATCGAAAATCAAGACTGATCGATATGGGGGAAAAGATGTGATTCTTTTTTTCCCTGTATCGCCCAGCCCTACTTAAAGTTGTGTTTTGTTTCATTTACTGTATTTTACGGACGATTAGGCGCTCGGGATTATAAGACACACTGTCATTAAATGGTCTATTTTCAAACTTTTTTCACAAATAAATCGCACTAGACTTTAAGCGAAACACAACAGTTCGATGGGTCAGTCGGACTTTGTTTGGAGCGTTCACGGTGACTCTGGGCTTTGTTCAATTGTGGCGTGGCGTGTCTGGGACCACTGGATCGGTCGCGATGACTGAATTGGTCAGTTGTGACTCAGATTGGCACATAGAACTCACTTTTTCGGTTGTTCCTTCGTTCCGTTCTTCGTCGGCGTGGAGTGATGAGTGTGGCTGCGGGTGTTTTTCACTGTGTGGTCGCTGTCTGCTCCGTGTGTGTTTGCGTGCGCTGCGGGTGGTGCGGCTTTGTAGTTTACTGAAGTCGTGCTGGGACACCCGAGTGGATTTGTCTATGAGGCGCTTTGGACTGTGGGGTACGTGGTCCTTTTTTGATGCGGTTAGTGGTTTAAGACCATGGCTAATTGCCCGAAAAATATGGTAGTCATGTTTGAGGAACCCTTTATTATTAGTCTGTCTACATCTTAAAAGCTCAAGCTGCTTTATTCCACCTGGTGATGTCATGTAGTGGTTCAAGTTAACAGCTACCTTTTACCTTTTGTTTAAAAGAGATTGGCAGATTCAGGGATGAAATCATCTAGTGTAGGTGCATGGAGTTTAAAAACACAATGGAGTATGTATTACCACATGACATCACAAGGTGGAACAGAGCCTAAATATGACAGCAAAGATCTGATTTTGTTATACAGAAAAGTCTATTAGCTTTCATGAACAGAGCTGGTCAGTTTAAAATTGTATGACAGATTTCCACATTAAACTAAACCTCTTGTGTTGTTTTTAGATCGCCCCTCCTAGGAAACATAATAGTGTGGAAGTATATGGCAGATGGCCAGAGTTCACTCAAAAGCCGAAATAAATCTGGCTTTGACATTTAGTCACTGATGAGCTGTAAAGAAGAGGAGAGGAGAGTTTGTTTTACAACATTATCATCTAAATCCTGCTGTATATACATGCATTTAACACACTTAGGTTTAGGTTCTGATTTAACACTCAAAAGTGCATTGTTAAAGGTGCACATATTTATCTTGCATGTATTTAATTGCAGGTATTTTTGCTGCTCAAAAAAATATATTCATCATCATCATCATCATCTTTATTCTGGACTCATGGTCCATTTTTAAAACAGACAGGGACAGTGACATTACAAAAACAACAAACATTTATGTTTTCTAAAAGACATATTGGACTGATAATCTCATATTTGTGAATGACATTATTACCGTATTTTCCGGACTATTAGGCGCTCTGGATTATAAGGCGCACTGTCATTAAATGGTCTATTTTCGAACTTTTTCACAAATAAACCGCACCGGACTTTAAACGAAACACAACAGTTGGATGGGTCGGACTTTTTTTGGCGAGTTCACGGTGACTCTGGGCTTTGTTCAGTTGTGGCGTGTAGGGAGGGTGCTGTCTGGGACCGCTGGATTGTCGGCGTGTTCGCAGTGACTCAGTTGTTCAGTCGTGTCTAGAAGTGGCACATTGCACTCGCTTTTTCGGTTCGTTCCTCCTTTCCATTCCTTGTCGGCGTGGAGTGATGAGTGTGGCTGTGGGTGTTTTTCGCTGCTCGGTCGCTGTCTGCTCCGTGCGTGTTTGCGTGCGCTGTGGGTGGTGCGGCTTTGTAGTTTACTGAAGTCGTGCTGGGACATCCGAGTAGATTTGTGTATAGGGCCCTCTGGATTGCGGGGTGCGCAAATGTTTTTTGATGTTTTGTTAGAGCCTTAAGAGCGCGTCTAATAGCCCAGAAAATACAGTATTTCATTGTCCGATTTGTTCAGCCTGCAAATAAAACTGTACATTAAAATTCCTAGTGCAGTTTGCGAAGTGTTCACTCATGCAGTAACAAACATCTCTGTCGCACTCGTCCATCGTGGCCTCCTCAAGAGCACCCACAAAGCGTCATTGTAAGCCACCTGCAGTCTTTGTAAACTGGCTTTTATGTTATTAATCCAAATGTGGGCTGTGTACAACCGTGTACAATATGATTTAAACACTAACAACTTTACATAATTTGTACAAGAGCCAAACTTACGCATAAGAGTATTTGCCTTGTCTATATATATCATCATTTTTCATCATATTGAAAAACCTGCGTTGTCATTATGAGCAGGATCACTTCTCCACAGATCTAACCTGTAATTTGACCTAGTGTTGTCACCTGTTTGGAGGCAAGCAAGTGACAAAACCTTTGCCACAAAAGTTCAGCAGTTCCCCTTTACGTCTCAGTTTTGGCTCCATGTAATTCACTCTGATTAACATGCTTAAGTAACAGTTGTTTTTTTTTCAGTTCCAATACGTTATACTTTGATTTTAGGTATCTGTATATACCTGATATTAGACGACAGACAGAAAAAGGCACTTACTTCCTAACTTACACAAGAGAATTACACAAGAGACCGAGTTTCGTTATGCAACCGTTATTTTTCCTTCAAATACCAAACAGTTTTGTATAAATGAAAGTTCAAACCTTATGAAACATTCTAGGCCAACAATTGCCAGTACATCCAATTAAAAGCTCAAACACCTGAACCTGATATCAAGGAATCAACACTGAATCCAGCTCATTTTTCAGTATCGGCACTTATACCAGTATGAGTATCTCTGTATCCCTAATAAGTAACAAAGCTGCATTATACATTTGAATCCTTCATCTTGTCTACGTTTGCTTGTAGGCACAGACTGACAGCCACACTTCCACACTGGCTACAGATCTATTTATGTCATGAGTGAAACTAAGATTTGAGTTGCTGACAATAGCTGCATCTTATTAGAAAATATGTTGTACTCAGATGTATTCCAACAGCTGCAGTGTTACAAAGAAGCTTCATCCACGACCCTCAAAGAGTCTCGTCCACCACAGAAGAAACACACATTTTTAGAGTGTTTTTTAGAGTATTTCTTGTGGTACAACATCACAGCAAAAACTCCAGATCCATGCACTTACTTGGCACTCTGTTGATGGCGCGCAGTGGTCGAAGTACCCGCACCGTCCTGATGGCAGACAGGCTGGCATTATGTCCATCCAAGGAATACTCCATCACTCTGATCACACAAGACAGAGAGAGAGGAGAGCTTTAGAGTGCTGTGTGGTCCACATGAAACACATAATCATATTACAGACATGCCGGAGACGTGTATAACAGCACTGCAGCCTCCCATGTAACTGCATTGGACTGTTCTTTGCACTGGACTGTGGTTAGGGTTGGGTGATACTGGCAAAAAAATTGTATTTATGTATATTTTTTTACTATCCTGATTAGGGCTGGGTATCATTAAGAAGTTGCCAATACAATAAATAAATACCTCGATACATAGACCGTGATATTATACATATTTCAATACAGTGCACTTTTGTTTCAATACGATATATTTCAAATTGATTTGATACGGTTCAATAAAAAACAAAAGGCAAAATCATGGCTGTGATACTAAAAGTCTTTGTTAAACCACTTCTTGTGCAAAGTTAATATGAAACTCATCAGTTTTAATCATCAAAACAGTGAAAATGTCAAATGTGTCTCATAAACAAGTTTCCTTCCACTAAACAAAACAACAAAACTGTCGCGCTGTAACAAAAAAACTGAGTAAAATATACTAAAAAATACTCGTGGTGATATATCGATACAGCAGTCCATGGTACTGATACTGTATCATCACATTAAATGATACAATACATCGATATTTTAATATTTTTGCACACCCCTAATCCAAATAATATTGACACTGTGTGCTGTCTGAATCTAATTCTAAAGAGTTTTTATTGTTAAATGTTAACCAGGCAGTATGCTGATGCACTGTTAGCATTCTAGTTGTTGTTAGGATGATGTCTGAAAAGCACTTATAACCTTACAGTGAATTCCTACTATTCTGATAACTCTGAGAATATTTAGACAATATTTTTGCAATGTTCTGAGCTAAAATGCTAAAATGTTAAAAGATTATTTGGTGATTTATTTATTTATTTATTTTTTACAACCTCTTTATATTGTTTTTTTTATTCTAGATCAGGAGTCGCCAAACTTTTTTCTCTGGGGGCCACATTATCGCTCCTGACTGCGAGGGGTCGGCCGGGGTCGGGTCGGTCGTATAACGTAATTGTTTGACCCTGATGACGCAGATTATATTCTTTGAAAACCTCCACACTTTCTTTACCTATCAGACAAACTGCATAGTCCTTACACTGAACAAAAACATAATCGGTCGTCAAACTGTTCTTTGAAAACACAGCACTCTCTGTCAACGTTTCGTACTTTAACACTCGCCAATTTGGTGTCCTTAACTGCACTACAAAACTCTGCGCGCGCGTTGACTGCCACCATTTAATCTCGAGTTTGTCAGGTGAAGAAAATTCAGTGGCAAATGTAAATACGTCATATAATTATCAAAATATAAATATAAATTCTTCATATAAATATATATTTTTTATTGAAAAAATCAACAAAATACAAGATGCAGGCATGTTATTATTTGCCAAAATAAAAAAAAAGGCCATGACAAGTTTTGAGGATTGTCTCGTAGGGCCAGTTTAAGTGGCTGGGGTTAGAGGGGCTGGTCAAAGTTCTCGTTCTATTCTCGATGATATTTAAGTTGCGTTCACATTCTAAAATATTTAGATGTCAAAATTTCTGACGGATTGCTGTATAACGTTTCTTACATTCATTTCAGCTGACGGCTATTATGTCTTTGAGGTTGAATAATGGCACTATTTTCTGAAGTTATTGTGAGAAAAATAATTCAACTTTCATTTATTCTTGCTGACAGGAGAAGAGGTTTGAACTTTGCAATTACTGAGTCTATCGTTAAAGAAAAACTGACTGACTGAGATACTAACCACTTATCAGGTCAACAAATCTGCAATCTGACCGTTTAATAGCAAATTCCACTTTACAATTCAGTTAAGAATGTTACGGTGTCCGAGTTTAGCCAAACATTATCGTCTATAGGTCTGAGAATCTTATCTAATCTGTCCATTCCTTATGTGTGGTCACTTTGTTTTGACTTTTGGAATACGTTCAAGGAATGCAGGACCTCATTTATACACATATAGTCTAGTGTTTCTATAATTTAAACAGAAATGATAGCGGTAGACGTTTTGTAGCGTGAGATATATGTGGCGGTATCTTTTTTACCTTACATGGCTGCATCATGGGATGGGAAAGGACAGTTCTATTTTGGAAAGGGCAGGACATTGTAAGGGCACACAAAATGGATAACGCCCACAGGCTCAAATCTATAGCTGTGTCGTACATTTTGATCCGGTGCATTTTTGTGTAGGACTTTTTACTATGACGTTTATTGAAGTAAAGTGACTGATACTTGGAATATGAAGGTATTTTTAACCCCTATATACATTCAAACTTCATGTATACTTGATGTCTTGACAGTACATCAGAGATTTCATAACATAGGCTACGTTCAGACTGCAGGACTTAATGCTCAATTTGGATTTTTTTGTGAAATCCGATTTTTTTTTTTGCGAAATTCACATTTCCAGTTAAATGTGACTTGTATGTGATCTCCCATGTGAACTTTAAACGCCCCAAAAGTGTCCAAAATGCGTATTGGATGAGTATAGAAGTAGCCTAAACATGGACACGAGCATTGAGCATCTGGTGATTTTAAAGTTGCTGTCGTAACGGGGCCAAACACGTACAGCTTATTTGTTTTAAGAAGGAGATTGAGAAGGACGAGGTTTTTGGCCACGGCGTTTTGTTGGGCAGTGGCAGCAACGTCCGTAGAAAGGAACGTGTGAGTGCAGAGTCACAGCCAAGAGTGGTGGGATTGTTAATTGCTTTGCTGCTTCTCCGACATGGAGTTTATACACCTTTTTTGTGTATGACGAGAAAAATGTTTGTGTAAATTCTTTGACGTGTAGGTGGGATGACTGTGACCTGGCCGTTCAGACTGAAGTCGCATGTCAAAAGATCGGATATGTATCGGTTTAGGACCACATATCCGAGTGGCCTGGGTCGCATGAAAAAAATCGGATCTGTGTCATTTAGACTGTCATTAAAAGATCAGATACATGTCGCATAGGGGCAAAAAAATCGGATTTGCGTTAAGGCTGAACCTAACATTTCTGCTTGTTTCTAAAGAGTTGCTAAAGGGTGCTGTATCTGATTTTTACGGTCTTAAAAACATAAAAAAAACTGAATTAATTCATTTTAAACTATTGTCCAGTGGTTTCAGAGACCAGTTTTGCCATCAGAGTAATGGTAAAAACAACTAGCATGTTAACACGCACCTCCTGACAATAAAAATCTGTAATTAGATAGATTAGACAGCACACAGACGACCCATTTTGACCTTTTGAGCTGCTTATACAATATATCTGTACTGTGGCAAGACAAGTTTTGCCCAGATAAATGGGGTAAAAAAATCTGATACAGGAAGTTTAATACTTGGTCTAGAATGTTCCACGGTGTAGGTCAAATCTGTGGAGAGGCGACCCCGCTCACAGTAAGAACACATGTTTTTCATGATTTTTTTGAGCAAGAAAAAGACCTATAATTAAATAAATGCAAAAATACCATTAGGGGATTCTATTTTAAAAGTTTTTTCTGCAGATTTACTAGACAATGAATAGTAGACATGTACCAGAGTCCTCTTCAGACACTCACCCCGCCATGACGATGACAAAGTCCAGCTGGTTCCACTTGTCGCCAAGATAACAGTTGGGCCCGAAGATTCCCAGAGCGACCATCTTGACGACCATCTCCACGGCAAAGAACGCAAAGATGCAGTCGTCCAATACCTAGAAACACACGAAGAACCGAAATTAAGAACCATGACAGCCCCTAACGAAGTATCCGCAAATTATAAATACTTCTTCCATATTAACAATGACTTCTCACAACCAATATCTACGTCGGATTTCTTCTAGTACTGTTTCTGTATCTGCCTTGAGGTATTAAAGGCTTTTAATTATTTTGTACTTTTTGAGTGCCTCAGTTTTTTCCTACATTGTATTTGTGACTGACTGCCTCATTATAAAGATCAGGAATTCAGTAATACAAATGTAACATGTAACATTTAAAGGGCCAATATTACACTATTTTCTTATCCATGTTATAATGTGTTCTCATCACAAACAGACCTGGAGTTGTTTTTGTTTCATTCACACATGTTTAGCACACAGACTCTGCATATTTAGGCTGAGTTTATCTCTCAAACTGAAAACAATCTGTTCCTCCTTGTGATGTCAGGTGGTAATATTAGGAGTGTAATGGTACATGTATTCATGCCGAACTCTTTCAGTACAGGGCGTTCGGTGCAGGGCAATGAGTGTGAGTTTGCAGAGTTTGTGTGTGTTTACATTCCGCCACTACATGTGCAGCTACACAGAAGGCTCGGCTCTTTAATATTCACGAGGGAATTCATCTGCGATTGGGGCAGTGTTTCCCGCAGCGCTTTATAGTTAGGGCGGCCACCTTGACAACAGTTGCCCCCTCCTTGACTACAACCCTCCGAACCACGTGAATCCTCACAAAACTACGGTTTCACTTTTCACTTTTTTTATTTTATTTTTTATTTTCCCGTTTGTATAATTTTAAAACAAATAGTTGGTCTAATAAACACACAGATAAACAACAAACAAATGGTTTCACATTTTGTTGCCATACTGTACCGAAAGTGAATCGAACCATGACCTCAAGACCGAGGTACGTACCGAACCGTGATTTTTGTCCACCGTTACACCCCTAGGTAATACAAGAAGTGCTCCATTTAGTTTTTAAACTTCATATACCTTCACTAGAATCATTTGGATAATTTCAGCCCTGGAACTGCCACAGATTTTCTTCACTTCTACAAAACAAAATGTAAAAGGAAGGTATTAACGTGAAAACTTTGTGGAACTGAGCATTTTGACCTTTGGAGATGTAAACAAACTAAAGTAGCTTTAAAGTAAATTTTATGTAAAATAGGACCTTTAAAGTTCACAATGTAACATGTCTGGTGGAGGTTCCGAACATCCTTGTCTCCATGGAGATGTTATTGCCTACTCCTCACGTCTCATGTTTTTATTGGTATGGATGTGAGAATGTGTCTTTATTTATTCATTTTTACTGCTGCAGTTTTGCTCTGTCATAGTTTCATTGTATTTTGTACAATAAATCTAATTCAAAATCTAAATCTAATCTAAATCTAATCTAAAATCTTGTTTTGCCCAGAATGTTCCACAATATGGCACAGTAAGACACCAGGCCAAGTTACAGGTCAGAACTGTGGAGAGGCGACCCCGATCAAAGTAAGAATGCATATAAAAAATAAAGTGGAACACCCGAGACAACATAAGGCACAAAAAGGTGAAGCTCCCAAACCCTCAAAAAATGTCCCAGAGTGCACCTTTCACTTTTGACCATGACATTTGGACTAACTAAAAACTTGCGACTTGACACTTGTTGTCAAAACTGAACTCCACAGTCTTTTCCCGAGTGGCCCAACTGAAAACCCGTCACTTACTTGGACAAATAAATTCATGACTTGTCAAACCAAAACCCGACGTAAACATTTCCACATTGTTAACTTTTAAATGCTAGCTTGTCTTGCCATCTGCGACCACCCTGACATTTTAGCTCCCCCCAAATGATCAGATCCTTGTTAAATCTCCCATTAGCGCTGCATTCTGAGAGGGAAGCGTGGTCCCGGCGGGGGAGAGCTCTGGCTTAGCGTGGTTTTGGCTGCGTCTCAATTAGCCGGAGTTCTAGCGTAGCGGAAAAGACAGTATGTATTTGAATATAATGAGCCCGTCGTAGCACAATATCCAAGAGTCAACACAGCACCGCGGCGCTCGCACACTGAACCAAATGAGACAGGAAATTCTAGTTTTAATTACAGCAGTATTTACACATCCGAGACACTCACGTTATTATTTTGTTGAAAGTTTGGTGGCTAAGCTAATGTTATTATATATTACACGGAATGGATTCTTCTGAGATTTAAGCAGTGCTATAATGGCGTTACTGTATTGAAAACATAACAGATAGGGGTGTAACGGTACAAAACCATCATGGTTCGGTATGTACGTTGGTTTTGAGGTCACAGTTCAGTTCATTTTTTGTATTTTGTATGGGAACAAAATCAAAACCATTTACTTGTTGTTTATTTGTGTGTTTATTAAACCAACAATTTGTTTTAACATTATACAAACGGGAAAATAAAATAAATGCAGTGTTGCTTGGTAATACTAATACGTTAAATAAAATATTCTAAAACAAGCAACAAATGTATGAAATATTATAAAAAAATAAATTCCTTGTAAACAGTAAACAAAACTTTTCAAAAAGTAAAGCAAAGCGCAGCACTAACAGTTCCAGCATGAAGTTTAACTCAGCCTTCATATTTTTGGCCAGAAAAAACAACTTGTCCACATCGTTTGCAGTAAATGCAGATCTGTGGCAATTGCAATGTCTCCATCGGTTGAAAACAAATATTCTTTCAGTAGAGGTTGTGGATATTCGAGGGGGGGGGGGGGGGGGGGTATAAGGGGGTCGTTCCTCACTTTCGCGAAAGGCAAAAGTGAGGAACGAGACGTGAAAACCGTAGGTATGTGAAGATTCACGTGGTTTGGAGGGATGTAGTCAAGGCGGGGCAGTTGTTGTCAAGGTGGCCGTCCTAACTATAAAGCACTGCGGGAAAAACTGCCACCCCAATTATGGACGAGTGAATATTAAAGAGCCGAGTCTTCCGTGTAGCTGCACATGTAGTGGCGGAATGTAAACACACACAATTGAATGAATTCACTCGATCACAGCCCTGCACTGAACCGAACGTCCCGTACTGAAACGATTCGGCACAAATCCATGTACCGTTACACTCCTAATAACTGGAGTTGTTTTTGTTGCATCCACAAATGTTAACAGCTGCCGTTTACCTTTAGTTCACTGGAGATGATCAGTTCCAGAGCTGAAACCATCCAAATGATTCTAGTGAAGGTTTGTGGAGTTTAAAAACAAAGTGAACCACTTCTTGTATTACCACATGACAGAGTTTGTTTTGAGAGAAGAACTCAGCCTAAATATGCAAGGTTGGTGAATGAAACAAAACACAGCTCCACATATGTTTTTGATATGGAAACAACATACAGTAGATAACATAGATCAGAATAATAATGTAATATAGGTTAAAGTTGTGCTATGTAGCTTTTCTGGTGGTGGCTTCTTATGTTTCCATGTGATTGCTTTTCCAGGAATGTTCCGGAGTATTGCATTAAGCCTATGTATCTCCATTCAGACAATTTATCCATTGAAGATAACACCACAAGGCAATTACAAGCAAGAATGCATGACTGTCAAGATATTTTACAGCAATTAATCACCTGTAATTGAATAAGGAATGCAGGATAGATAAGACTCATGTCATATTATGCAACATTTCAGGCAAAGCAAAAACATCTCCATGGAAACAAGTAGGTGGCAGAACATACACCAGAAATGTTATAGTGCACCTCTGAAGAGCCGATGTGTCCGATTTTGAAGATGTTTTCGAATTTACTGGCTTTACGGCCCACCTTGTTGAACCATGATTGTTTCCCCAATTGAAAAATCTGGCCCTGGTAATTGCTTTTTTTATGTAGTTCCTTCTAAATTTGTTACTCCCTATTTCATCAAAGGTTGCCACAACACCACAAAACCAATTGTACACTGATTTAGCGACTTTTTTTAATGATAGATGCCCTTCCTATCAAATAAAAGTGACTAGAGTGGGCAATTGAGTAGAAGTGCCTTGCCTAAAAGCACTAAAAGCAGCCGTATACATTTAGGATTTGCTCGAACCGGCCAACCTTTCGCTTCAGGGATTGCTTTACTGACTATAATGCTGCTACCCTATTAAAATTACATAATACACGTGACGAACCGCGCATTATTTTTAACCACGGACTAAATCAAAATAAGATCTTTTTATAATGCTAATATTCTTGTGAGTGATCCGGTGGGTACGTCGTGAGGCAGCTTGCGTTAGATGTTTTGGAGATAAAAGTTAAGTAAAGATCAGTGGAGGGATTCTGATGTGAGAGCTGCCAGGACGCCCAGAGGAAGTCTAAAGATTTATGGATACAGAGAAAGAGAGCAAGAAGTTAGCTCGGGTGAAAAGAAGAAGAGGAGTAGGCCATGTATTTTGGGGTTAGAAACTGCAACATGACTTCAGTTAATATGACAATCTTAAAAAAAACACGATGTAAGTTTTAGGTGGAGGGTCCGAAACCTTATTTTCTCCATAAAATGTTTTTGTTTTGCCTTGAAAGTGCAGCAGGTGAGTAGTTTTCATAGCTCTTTAAGTGCCAGTCCATGCTATCCATGTGCCCTTACGCAAGACACTTTCTCTTTACACGAACAAACACATTTATAAGATGATTTGAAATAGACAATGAATTAACCAAGATTATGTTTGGCAGTAAAATGTCTAATTAAAAAAGAAAAAAAGCTGGATAAGTTTACACTACAATGGCCACGTTTACATGATATTATTTGTTCTGAATTAAAATATTCTCCTTTGAGTTTACATGGAAATAATAATTCCGAATTGAGGTATACACAGAAAACACATTAAATCACCTTTATTTAATTCCGCTGAACATCTGGGGGTGGGGAAGGGTTCTGACTGGACCGGGGGCACTCGAATGTATTTACGTTGACCAGAAGAAAACACACATTTCAGCTGCTACTGGCTTTTTTGCCATCTTGGTCAGTTTGTTGTATAAAATTTTGTCTATTTTATAATTTGTCTGATCCTCAAAACCTCAAAAAGATCTAATAAAGAGTTGAGAAATACCATATTTTTTGAATTATAATGAATTGAATTGAATTATAAAGTGCAATATCAATAATGTTGAATTCTCTCGTCTATTTTCATAGCGAAACAGACGACACTTGAGACTGATCCCTTAGCTCAGGCGTCCACGATCTGTTGGCAGATCGTGGCGTGGTGTATTATGAATGTGAATGTGGGTGGATAATTTAAGTTTGTTTTTCTTATTTCCTGTGAGGAAGACTCAAATATACATTCAGGAATAACGTGTTTAATTCAGCTTCGCGCACATTTGTTTACGTTTTACAGAAACAAACCTTAAAACCACATGAATAATTTGCATAAACTATAAGTGCTTGCTTTTTGTGCGCTTCTGTCGGACTTACTCCACGAGGCTCCTGACTACAGTAGCCGTAATGCTCCGACAATCCATCAAGCGGCGCAGCTTCGTAGTTTACCAAAGTCGTACTAAAACATTTTGACAGATTTTTGAGCGCCGTGTGCCACATAAAATCATTTCCAGATCAGTAAGCACAACCAGAATTAAGGCACACTGGATTATTATATTATACTGTAAATTTTTGAGAAAATTAAAGGATTTTAAGTGCGCCTTATAGTCCAAAAAATACGGTACACTTAAGATTCTTCTGATGTTGTTAAAGTTGTGCTATGTAACATTTCTGGTAGAGGGTCCTTCCCCTTCTCATCTCCATAGAGAGAGTGTTGCTTTGTCTGGAATATTGTAGAGTGAGGAATTTAATTTATCCATCACCATGAAGACCTCAAACTTTGGTAGATTTCATAACTATACAGAAGTTTGCAAGACACTTTATTTTTACATGAACAAATATATCTATGTGTACGTGACAGAATGAAAGGATAACACACCAAATTGTGCAAGAAAATTCGCTGTATAAAATAAATGCATAATTGTTATTGAACGCACACTAACCTGTAATATTCGGCACCACTCGGACTGACAGGAGATATCTTCACAGGGCTGGAACATCCCCAGAGTGACGCAGTTGAGAAGGATCACCACCATGGACACGTGCTCGAACCATGTGTGCAGGAGTTAAGGCCAAAATGTGAATATTCATCAAACATACAAAACAACAAGCTCTAACGTCAGAGAAAAACATCAAGAATTGGTTTAAATAAAAAAATGGACACTGTAATCTCGTTATTGAATCAACATCCATCACACAGTAAGCGCATTAAGTCATACAAAATGGCCGACAATGGGAAAGGAAGTTCAAATGGGGGTTAATGGTCTAAAGATGACATGTTATGATGCTAATCGAATCACTGGCCTTTAATAATTTCGCAATTAGCTTCTCTGCTACTTGTCTCATTCTGATCAATAGAATGTGCTGGAAACAAGCCCCTAAAAGTAAGCAGGGATGGACAGTGTATCTCAAACAATATCAGACACATTTTTTTTCAAATACTGGAATTTGGTTTGATGTAAATTCTGCAATATTTAGTGTCACTTTTTTTTTAAGATGCCCTTGTCTATTTGTGCCCCTGTGTTATTCCCAGATGTGTTGTTTTAAACAGAATATTGCGCTAAAATGAAAGCAAAAACGCTATTAAGTGTACAGTACGAAACTTTCTAGATGATTCCTTGGAAATTTCTGACCGTTTTCCATAGAGATACAACGCTCAGCATAAATGAGTACATCCCTTTTGAAAAGTAACATTTTATACAGAGGTCAATGAACAATGAAAAAGTTTAATACAGCATCTGTTGAACTTAGGACAAAAACGTAAGGTTAATAATAAAACTTAGATTACATAATTTTCAGTTTTAGTGAAATTATGTTGTGTACAAGTTGTATGCAAGCCCACTCAAAGTAAGGAGGCATGTTTTTCAGTGCAAAACGAAAAAGAAAAAAACAAAAACGAAAAAAAAATTGGTCTATTTTTGTCTAAAAAGTGATAACCAAATGATAGATTTATTTATTTTTTTTAATCTCTGCAGAATGTGGCCCTTACTTGGCGATGTAAAAATGGGCAAGGTAAAAACGAGACGCACATGGACTGAAAATATTAAAAGTCCTGATTAAAAGTATAACATGGGCAGGGACGCCAACGATTTCGACCAGCTAGGTGGTCTTCGTCATACATTACATGAGATTATGCGACTAGTCACGTGAACACAGGAAAAAAAAAAAGTTGGTCAGCCAAAGCACTAGAGGAAAATGTGTATATGTAATAAGCAGACCCACAAAAAAGCAACAATATTAAACTGCTGACAGTAGACAAGAGTGTGAAGAATCCCTCAGTCGTCCAGGTAGAATCCATGGTGAGGAGAAACTTCAGTTTGTCGACTGGACAAAAGTGAGTTTGGTTGAAGACGTTTCGCAGCTCATCCAAGCTGCTTCTTCAGTTCTGGTCAGATGCTGGTGGACACTTCCTTGTATCTGCAGGGAGGAGCTAACTAACTACTCTGAAACTAACACATCTACTCTACTACACTGGCTTCCTGTGCCTCAGAGAATAGACTTTAAAGCAGCTCTGCTTGTGTACAAGTCTCTCCATGGCCGAGCACCAAAGTACATCTGTGACATGTTAGTGTCATATGAACCATCTCGCACTCTGAGGAGCTCAGGGACCGGCCTCCTGCTGGTGCCCAGAGTCACGACTAAACAAGGGGAGTCAGAGTTTCAGGTTCATGCAGCTAAAACCTGGAACAGTCTGAACATGTGAGACAGACTCTTCTGTGACGCTGTTTAAATCCAGGCTCAAAACATTTCTGTTTAACTGTGCATATAACTGAAAGGTTTTCATTCCACACTCTTCTCTCCAATTTATGTCTCCTCTTTTTTAATTTTAATCTTCATGATTATTTATTTCTTATTCTGTAAAGCACTTTGAATTACTTTGTGTATAAATTGTGCTATACAAATAAACTTGCCTTGCTTGCCTACTTGTTTACAGTTTCTGTTTGTTAGTTTGGCCTATTTACCTGTACAGGGTGTGGGGTCTAATTAGCAGAACAATTCATGGCCATAATGGAGCTTCCACACCTCTGGACCTGACCTGGATACACCTGTTGTTCTCTTGTTTGTTTTGATTTAGGTTTGAGGATAGAGCTGTAAATAATAAGCAAGAGTGTCCATCACATATGCACCAATAAGAAATATAGAAGAAGCCATAACTGCATCACATCTCCAAAATATGCATTTTTAAAAACACATTCAAACATTACCAGGAGGATTTAAACAATTTTAGAGACACAGAATAGTTCAGATCATCATTAAGGCCTGAGTGATGAGTAGCCTTGACTGTCTCAATCCAAAACATTTCTTTCCGTGATAACTGACTGACATCACATCGATTGATTTTATTGATTATCGGCCGTAACACCATCACCAGTATCAGATAACAATATCAGATGAACATAATCTATATTGGACCATCATATTAACTTACACAGAAACCTGAGTCTCACTAGAATACTGTAATCTTCTGCTGAACTCTGCCCGGGTCTCTTTATCCTTAGTCCTATTTGGGATCAGACCGTAATCCGTAAGGGGCCTGATCCAAACCAAAATTTTCCTTTGAGATCTTAATCCCATCTGAGGACATGACATCACAAAGAAAGAAGTCATTTAAGACCAGAGTTTAGGCTGACAGGACGCTGACAGGACGACGGAGGGCATATTGACAACAAAAGTCTGGGCACATTCAAATCAGCAGGTTTCCATTAAGCTCTTTTGTTGTTCTCCAAATAAGCAATGTCAAGCCTAATCACACGCAATCACGAAGAGCGCTAACGGCTGCTATTTGACTGGCTCCTTAAGTGCTCGGGTCTTCTATCTCTCATCCAAAGCTAGACTGACAATTCAAGCATATATTGTGATATAAAAGATAAAACAGAAATCATACACCTAACAATAACTGCCAGAACTAAATCTGCTCAAATCTTGTACAAATTGTTCTTTAAAGGTCCTATATTACACAAAATGGACTCTTGTGAGCGTTAAGACATGTTATAATGTTGTGTCCTCCTCAAAAACAGACCTGGAGTTGTGTTTTGTTTCATTCACACATGTTTCAGTGGTCCTTTGTCGACATTTCCAAAGCTCAAAATGCTCTTTTCCACCTCGTGAAGTTCGGCAATTCCAGGGCTGAAATGATCCAAATGATTCTAGTGAAGGTGTATGGAGAAGTTTCTGTATTACCGCATGATTTGAGAGAAGAACTCGCTCCTATATATGCAGGGTTTGTGTGTTAAACATGTGTGAATAAAACAAAACACAACTCCAGGTCTGTTTTTGATGAAGAAACAACACTATAACAGATCAGAACATTTGAGAAATTTCATGCACTGATTGTTAAACGTTTCAAAACTATCACCTCAAAATCCTCTTAAGATAATCAGCCAGACACTTCTACATTCTCTCAAAAATTCCTGTATCTTCATTTATCTATTCATTTATTTATTGTTCATGCTGTTATTTTGTTGGCATCGACTTAAAGAGAACAACAACAACAAAAAATCTGAAAATTAACATAAATACATACATATTTCTAAGATTATTTGCCTTGTCTTTGCTGCATGAACAAAAGGAGCAGGAAGAAGATAAATTGTGTAAACCCCGCTCCTTTCACAGATTAAAAATTAAACATTTCTTCATAACTAAATATACAGCATAACTTCTCTCTGATTGGTTAATACACTTGTCAATCACAGCCTGTGGAATCGTGGAGACAGGATACGGTTCGAGACTCACTTCTCGTCTTTGTAAAGTTTTATCAAAATGTGTGGTTCTGGCTGGACATTTAACAGAGGCCCTGGACTTGATTCTCTAAGTATTCGAGCAAAATGTGTGGTTAGCATGCTAGTTGTTATTTTTACCGTGACGTCTGGTGTCTCGAAGTTGTGACAAGCGTTTACAAACTCATCAAGGTGAATAACTAGGATGTTCAGAATGCATAAGGTAAATGAGGAGTAACTTTGGAATAACTTAAGTTCTGTTTTTCACGTTTTTGGAACTGGAAAACTGGATTAAAACATTTTGAAACTACGACTAAACCCAGATTTCAGTCAAACAATTTCAGAATATTTACTGGTCTAAACGAAACCATGTGGGTGCAACCATATCGATGTCTCGCCTATGTAACAAATCCCTACGTCAGAAATAACCGGAGTTAAGAGACCGCAGACCCAAAGCAATATAAAGCTTTAAGAGCCAATTACGCTCCGCAAATACCAAGTCGCAGTATTATTCCCACGGCGATGCATTGTTTCAAGTGTAATGCTTCTGGGGCCGATGTGAAACAAAGGGAAACATGGAATGCAAGAAGACGATATGCAAATTTAAATGAGTACAGTATGTGTTTAAACTCAGTACGTCAGGCTACACAGGCTACTTCAGCAATAACAATTATAAGCATGTCAGTGAATAAAAAGAGTTCTTATGTTTTTAAACTGTTCTAAACATAAATTTGATATCGTTGAAGGCTTAAAAATATAAAATCTTTCCTATCAAAATCAAAATATATTCAGAAAAGGTGTGAATTTCCCCTCGAAAATGCAAATGTCACAAGAAATTCCCACAGACTGAACCCAAAATCGAACAAAAACCCAAAACTTGGCAACATCAGGACAAAAATACACAATCAGTACAATCTTGAAAAACTAATTGCAATGGAGAATAACAAATTATTGGAGCATAAAAGCATAAAATGGGATATTTGCTCACTGGTATTAGAGATAATACCAGTAATAATAATCATCATTATTGTTATTGTTTATGTCTTCTGTTCTTTATTTTAATTTGCTTTGAGCCCTTTGTTGAGCTGCTTATACAGTTTTAGTTTTTAATATGTGTTTTTTATGTTCTTTTTTTGTTGTTATTATTATTATTTTTTTTATTATTATTCTTTCCTTATAGATCTGTATTAAGTATGAGTGGGTCTGGATGTGATGTGTAGGTGGTGTTTGGTTGAGTGTGATGCCTGACCTCCTTGATTTTGTCAATAATAAATAAATTAAATTAAATTAAAAAAATAAAATAAAAATAAAAAAGAGTTCTTGCATTGTACTGAAGTT